AAATTAATCTGATTAGATATAATCTCAATGTTATGCATTTTAAAAAGAATTTTTTGATAATATCTTCAATACTATGCTAGATATCAAGAGTGAAACAAAAGATAATGGCAAAGCAAGACTAAACCTGTAAGAATATTGTAAGGGGAATGGGTAAGAACATCAAGAGATAAATATCGGTAAACTAATAAAGCCCAAAACTACATATTATCTCACATTTGATTGACGAAAGCTAAACTTTGAGTAGATGCATTCTCTAAAATTTCTCAATGGTTGTGTTTCAAACATAAACCGCCGTGTTGACTTGAGAGCAGGAAAAGTATTCAACATCAAGAGTCACGACTGTCATATTTTTTGTAATAGAAAAAATTACATACACTTTGTTATGTGCACGTTTGTGAAAATCTAATCATTCTTTTGTTTTTTTTTTCTTTTTTACAGGTTTGTATTGAAATAATGTCGGAAAGTTCGACGCTATTCATCAGACTTCTAACGATACTATTCGATAATAGCATCAGACATAAGCTAAAACAAATTAAAAGCGAAATCTTGCATCGACCATAGAGTCGATGAAATTGGTTAACGACGATATTTACGGATGTTAATTCCGATGCAAAATATTTGTGTTGGACATTTGCGACAGTAATTTAATTAACCTGTTTTAACGATAAAATTATTTCCGACACAAATCCAACGCTAATCCCATTTAGCATCAAATTTTTCCTTGATTAGCATTGGATTTGTCGGATGCTAATCAGCATAAATCTTGTACTGAGATATAAGGTGTATCAACTATTAGGTCAAAGCTTTACTCTAAATCAAAATTTTTTTACAAATATAGAATATTAATTTTTTTACCAAACTATATTTGAAGTTTCATAAAGATTATTAATTTAATCTGTTATCTCATCAAAATGTAGATTTATTTTGGGGGAAAAATTATTGAAAAAGAAACTATATCACGTCCTAAGCTCATAGAATAGTAATTTGCATTGTAGTTTAATGAAACAACCCCTATCTAAAATAATAGCAGAATTCATCAAATTCATGCTAAAAATTAATAATAAATAATGCCTCAAGTGTGAAGCTATGAGAGACTTGGTCTTAGCTCCACCTCAAATAATTCAATATTACGTGGTCATAGAAATACCAAGTAGTTGACTCACTCAAATGCTTAAGCTTTTGGGATAAAATTCGACGTAACTGCTAGTGCAACTAGTCCTACTTTAATCCTTTTATTATTTCATTTTTCCTAACACTAACCACGAAATATAGTGATTGGCCTGACAAGATTACTTGTCTTAAACCGTTAAGATTCTAACTTGAGTTCAAAAATAGAATCTAAAATCATAAAAAATAAGGGATAATAATAAAAATTAAAAACGCTCACTTTCAAAGTTGACAGATCCTTTGCAATCCCCCATAGCATAGCTCCAACAAAAGCATCCCCAGCCCCTGTTGTGTCCACAGGCTTGACCTTGATGCTGTCAACAGTCCCCAAGAAATTCTAACATATAACAGAATACAAGATAAGAAAAACTGATTAATACCAGAAAAAACTCTCAAATACAAGATCAAATGGAATGGCTAGTCCACGTGCATACTTTGGTATAATATTTGCATCCATCCTTTCCCAATGTTACTACAAGGAGTTTCATCGCTGGTTTCCACAAGCTCATTACTATATCATCCTCCACCGAGGATTTGCCTGTGAGGAACTCAAGTTCAGTATCGCTGATCTTAACAATGTTTACCTGATCCCAGATGCTCAGCATCTGAGCCTTGGCTTCATCTGCCGATGGCCACAATGCAAGCCTAAGGTTTGGGTCATAGGATAGGAGGGCGCCTGCATTCTTGGCCTCCAGCATGGCTGTCAAATGCGCTGAACGGCATGGTTCAGCTATCAAACTTATGGATCCAAAATGGAAGATTGAAGCCTGCCAAAGCACAATTCCATGATAAGTAAGCTTTAAGGGAATCAACAATCAAAGGATATGATTGTATATACCAAAATATGGACTTTTAGCAGAAGAAGAAGAAGAAGAGTAAAAATCTTTTAAGGATAGGATCCAATATGAAAGATCGAGGCCAGCAAAATGCATTGGTCATGAAGACGAAGTTCGCTTCAGAAGAATCAAGAAACAAAAGAAATAATTGAGCACATTCTCATATATATATATAAAATAAATTTTAAAAGGAATGGCCAGAGGCTATTAGACGAGCCCCGGCCATCTCTAGGTGTGTTAAATATTCGAATACCACACCCTACACACAGGGATTTAAACCCATGACCTGAGGGGACT